GACCTGCTCAGGTGTGTCACCTTGACAGTATTTTTTCAGCTAGAGGATTATACAGTTGTATGGTGGCTTTTTTCAGACGGGATGCGAAAGATTTGAGATCTAAGAACAACTTGCCTGATGGGATGGAGGTCCCAGTCAGAGAGCTTTTGATTTCCAGCCCTGCCACTGCCTTACTCTATATAACCTAGGGCCAGGTTGGCTTCCTCTTCTAGCCCTCAGGCTTCCTCATTTGTAAAGCAAAGGGGTACTGTGGCTCTTTTTTCCTTTTTCAGTGCTCTAAGCAATGTGGAACAACAAAAAAATACTGTCTTGTATTTAAAGCTGATGATTACAAGTAGGATTGGCATGCTGTACTGTGTAACACGTTGCTTTTTCTGAAGACCTTAAGTCTCAATGTATAAAACAGAGAACTGGGAGTATCACTGTCCCTAACTGAGCTGTTCGAAATGCAGACCAGCTGCAGTGAATTCTCCAGAGTTACCAGGGTGTCCCCAGCTGGTAACCGGGCCTGAGTTGCTCCAGCCTTTGCCTTAGTGCAAAGCAGCCCCTTCCCCTTCCCGCCATTCACCCCTGCACAGAGGGGCTCGGGGTCCAGCTGCCTGCCACAACCCCAAACCACCCTCATGTGCATCAGCAAATTTTCCCCATCTTCCAGAATGCCTCCACATTTCCCCCCCCTGCCTGCCTGTGGAGCTGGGTTGTGTGGTGCGGGGATGCTGCCCTGGAGCCCGGGCAGAGGCTGGTTCCTATTTGGGAGCCTTGTAAATCACTGACGGTGTGGCAGTAACAAGGGCTGCTTGGCCGGCCCTTGTTAAGCAGGAGGGGGCTCGGGGCTGTAGGCAGCATTTCCTCAGTAAAACCTTCAGTTTCTAATCAGCAAACACCTCTCCTGCTGCCTGTGCTTAATTCAGATCCCTTTTTCTTTTCCAACTTTATCACTCTCCCCGCACACGCGCACGCCTTTCTTCTCTTTTATATCTTCACCTCTGGTTTTTCTTTCTTGCTTCTTTCCCTTTGCAGTGCCCTCCATCGCCACGGTACAGCTGGGGCTGCATGCCGGGGCCTCGGTGGGCTTAGGTGTGTGGCAGGAAGCCGAGCCGACAGATTTTACACCCCCACCACTGCCCCCATATCTGATGAAGCTCTCGTTAATTTTGTTCTCCTAATGGCCCCTCTTTTGATTTACTGGGCTGTCTGAAAGGGACTTAGAACCTTAGCTCCACCGACAGGAAATTGTTATTTTAACCTGGCAGGAAAGAATTAAAAATAAATAAACAAATAATTTTTGTTTTCCCTCACCCCTTGAAGCTCTTTAAGTGACTTTAACTCTTTCTTTCCCCAAATAGCAATTAAGCAGGAGCTGTTGAGGCTGGGGGAGTCGGTGGCTGCAGAAGCGTTGGCAACCAGGGCTATCACGTAGCATACCTGCCTTGGGGAGAAGAGGCAGCAGAGCAGGATGCCATCACGCAGCAGCCCTGTGGCTCCCAGCACAACCCCCTGCCCGGCACTGCTGCCTCTGGGAAGGCAACCGGAGCACCTGGGGCCTCCTCTGCTCCCCACCTCTGCTGCCTCTCCCACTGCAGCCCGCTCTGGCAGTGCTTGTAGGGATGCCGGGCAGATCGAAAGCTGCCTGATTAATAAAGTTCCTTGCTTTGCACTACTGCAGGCTGCTTAAGGGCAGCATTTTCAAAAGAGGTCAGCTCCCATTTAGGCATCGAAATAAGTTGGTTGCCTATTCAGGGGAGCTCAGCATGTCAAGAACTGAATGCTTTTGAAAATCTGGCTTCAATTGTGGAAGCTGAGAATTTCGAAATCTGGCCCTGGATCCTAATAGTTCTTTTGGAATTGATGTTTTCATTCATTTTCCTCATTATTTTTATGCTGGCCATTTACTTTTTGTACTTCACTCAGCTGTGAAAGAAATGGCCACATGTCCCTATTTAGAGCTCATATTCTGCCTGGAGGTTTGGGGAGGTACCATACACTTGTTGCAACACACCTTCTCTCCCCAGTCTCTGCTCAGTACTGTTCAATCTGCCGAGTGCCGTGGCCAAATTTTTTTATCTCCCCTTTTTTCTCCCCACCTATTGCCTTTCGTCTTCTTACAGACCTGGGGGCAGCCAGTTTAGTCATTGCATCGATGTGCCTGGGTGGTCCTAGCTCACGAAGGGTCCATTACACATTTCTGCTCCTTTGGCTTTGCCCTTCTGGCCAGAGGCTCTGCGCGACGCAGAGCTGCAGGGAGGTCTGGTTGGGAACGTCTTTGCCTACCCCCTCCCCCAGTACGGGCTCCAAGGAGCAACTCTTTTTCCATCCAACATTTTTCCATCTTGCTGCCAAACCCATCCAGATAGGGGGAGTGAGTCAGCTTTGCTCTGTAGGCTTCCAGCACTGAAGAACAAGATGTTAAGTCCTACCCCAAAATGTTTGTTTTACGTTGGTGGAAGGCTTTCTATCCCCAGCAACCCTGATGATGCAAGGTACAAGCTAAATCCCATTTTTAAGCCTAAACTTCAAGTCTTTTCCAGATGAGTGTAATTAGTGGCACATCACTGGTGTCAACAGTGCATGTTCTGGTGTGGACAGACCTTGGGCCCTTTTGTGGCCGTGATCAGTGGTGGTTTGCCCAAGATGGCTGTAGCATAACGAAGGGTGCTTTGGTGGCTGTCTTACATGGAGAAATTAACCCGAGTAACTCAGATGGTCTCCAAGTCAATAGCTAAAGGATCTCGTACAATAGTATGTGCTGGTTGATGGGGAAAACTCTTCAAAGATAAATTGCTGAGACTCTTCTCCTTGGAGGAAAAGAGTGATACCAAGAAGGATGGGAGGGAAGTTGATGTATTTTCACTCTGGCACTGGAGGTTACCCACAGGGGATTTTCACATGCAACAGGGCTGTGGGCTGCAGTAGCTAGAGTATGAGTCTAGCTGATCTTTCTGGGTGCCTTCAGGGTATGCCTATCCTGACGTCTGATGGCCAAGCTCTGTCCATGCTCCTGGCTGCCTGGAAGCCACATCGGGCTCTCAGCAGGGCTTGTTATTGTGGCCTCATGGCCACACTAACCGTGGCTGTGTGGCTCCAGGAAAGAGCTGCCTTGCCTTGAGCCTGCTGGGTAGGGTGGCTGAGTGAGCTCACGTTGGCCTGCAAAGTGCTACATAAAGATGCTGTTTGTGGCATTTGCAAAACTTCAGCTGCAGGTCACTTTACTTGGAATTGCTTCCTTTTGAAATCACCAGCTCAGAGGTGGTTTTTCTTATCTCTCCTCAACTTTATATGAATGTCTTCTCCATGACTTCTCCCCCAAGTGGTGCTCTGGAGTGGGGAGTGGGGGGGAAAAGGGATAGCTTGTGAGGCTGTCAGAGGGACAGCCCAATTTGCAAAGACTCATGTAAGCTAGCTAGCTGGATTCATGCTGTTGCAATGTGGACCTTGATACAGCCAGCCATGGACATTGACCCCATGCTGTGCTCTTGCACCTTTGCTGTCACCAGAGGCCAAGCAAAGTCGCGTGCGAGTAGCTTGGTGAGATTTCCCCAAACGCTATGGTTCCTCACTAGTAGTAATCAGCCTTGCCTTGAACAACTCACCAAAAATCTCATGGGGAGTCTGTGCAGTCCTTACTTCAGGAGTAAGGAGGTTTAATTTTGGAGTTTATGCTTGAAGACACTTCTCCCCTCTTTTTGACTGAGATGATTATGGAAAGGACACACTCAAACAGGTGATGGCTCAATCAGTGGCCATGGTGGAAGTAGGAAATACTGCTCTGCAGAGCCCAGATCTTCTTGAGGATGGTTGTGGTTAATGAGCTCGTTGTGTATCTGCAGGGGGAGCAAGCAATATGGCTGCTATTTGGGCTGGCTGCCGTGGCTGGTTTGGTCTTGATCTTAGTCTTCTCCCCTGCCAATGTAGACGTGCCACAGGAACAATTCTGAAATGCCTTTGAGACTCACAGGTCATCTTCTTAGTGCTGCAGCTGGAGGGAGCTCAAAAGCCTGAAGCTGCATTACCATGTCCCTAGAGGGAAGCCTCTCCTTGACTTCAGCCCTTTGCCCTTGGTTGGAGCTGAATTCAGTCTGACATCCGAGGTGTCTCTTGGTGCAGCCAGTTAGGTCTTTAATGCTCCTGACCTGGCTTGTCTGCTCTAGCGTTCGTTCGTGACAGCCTCTCCAAAGCAGCTGCTACGGTGTGGAGCGATTCACAGCAATCTGGGTAGTGGCAGGTGGCCTTGGGATTCAAGTTTTTTGGAGATTGTTGCTGAACCTGGTAGTTTGTCTGGACAGGGTAGTTCAACTCCACATGGACAATGTGTTTCAGGCAGAACAGTTTAATCTGAAATCTTTCCATAGGCTGGGTCTCTTAGTTTAGAATAAAAGTATATTATGCAATGTACATGGCCAGTGACTTAGGAAGAGACTCTGAAACTGTGGAATCACCTCTGTTTTCCTATAGCTCGGGACTTTGTAGCTACTCATTTACTTTTGTGTTCAAGCTAGAATATATTCCAGACACGGCCAAGAAGCGGCAGCAACGCATGGTGAATATCTCCAGTGACACTTTGTTGGAAATGTTTATGTTTTGCTCCTGAAAATTGCCTGGTGTGCATTGCTGGCACAGTACAGGCTTTCACTGCGCCAAATCTGAAATGGGGAAGGGGAGTGAGTATGTGTCTGTGTGCACACATGTAGATTTGTACTGAGGGCTGAGGATGGGCTGTCTTGGGACACTCATGACCATGCCTGGGGGAGAGGCTGGAGAAGAGAAGTGCTTGCATCTGTGCCTGTAGCCTGCTCAGGCCACCGGCTCAGTGAATCCCTGGGAATTTAGAGATGTTGGTAGAGAAGCTAGGTGGGGCTGGAAAACAGGAGGAAGTCTGAGGGTTACATCCATCATGTCTCTTGTCATCCGCAGGAATCTGCTGCCGCACCTTCACAGCATCCCCTGACGCAGCTTATGGGACCCTTCCCTGGGTGCCTCTGCCCCAGGACATACCGCATGGGATGTCAATGACACGTGGAAAGAAGAGACCCATGTTGCCCATCCCTTGCCTCATCCTTGCAGCCGCTAGCTGCTTTGCCAGACTGAGTGAGTTTCTGTTCTTACCCATTTGTTCCATTTCGTTTATGTTTTACCTTGATGCTGGTTAGCATAGCCAGGCCTCAAGCTCAAAGTGGTTTTTTTCTCTCTGCTGTTTCCTGAATAGCCTTGACCAAAGGTCTAGGTTCAAACACTCCTCCAGAGGAGAAGGGGATACAGTCAGAGTTGGACATCTCTGTCTAGTGGTGCCAAGAAGAAATGGGGCTGGTGTGCATCTCAAAGCACTAGGGTGGGTGTGTGAGGAGCTAAGGGGAAGGTGTAGCACAAGCAGAAGCAATGAGAAATGCAAAATGTACCAGCACTGCAGTTTTTTCCTCTGCCTTTTTTTTTTTCTGAGTCTCACAGGTCTTTCTTATTCCCATTTTTTTCCTCTGTGCAGGTGAATCTCTGCAGGTCACAGTGCAACCTGCCTCCATTGTCCAAAAGCTTGGGGGCCCAGTCAGCCTGGGGTGTGTGGTGGACCCCCCTAGAGTGAACCTCACCTGGAGACTGAATGGGAAGGAGCTGGCTGGGTCGGACGAGGTGCTGGGTATCCACATCGAGCGAGGAAAACTTGTCATCACAGCTCTCAACAACCACACCGTGGGGCGATACCAGTGCATTGCTCGTGTGCCTGAAGGAGTCATTGCCAGTGTCCCTGCAGTGGTCACATTAGCTAGTGAGTAACTTTTAGTCCTCTACCATTCCCTGCATTGCTTGGGCCATCGTTCATGCATCTTGAGAGGCTCATCCATGCTCACTTGTTGATGCTGACATCAAGGGAGGGCTCCTTTGGCCTAGGCCACTTTGTAGCATTTTTGATCATGGACTGGCTGTCAGGCTGTGGCCCAGCCACAACCCAAGTGGTCTTCCTGCATGGTAGACTGCAGACATGTCCTGCAGTGATAGTTTTTGCAAGATCACAAAGAGCGGGAAATACTTGAGCGATGGGGTTTGTGTGCGTGGTTGGTTTCCTGGCTGTCATGTTGCCCCATCTGGTTGCTGACTTCTTGATTGAGGTTACCAAAAAGTACCTGCTGGTGCTGGTGGCCAAACTGCTGCCTAGGCTGCTGTGGGGCTGTTGCCGTGCTGGGTCAGTGTGTGCTAATTTTTCCTGCCTTCCTGACCCACAGAAAGTGAAATCCTTTGCCGTGCTTGCACTTTGGTGGGTCCTGCATTTTTTTGTGTTGCCCCTGGGTTCATCATAACCAAAGTACCAGCCCCCATGTTCACAGTAAGGAAAGGTTAGTCTAGTTGTGGTGAGGAGGTGCTCCTGAGCACCTGCATTAAGTGACTGGTAGCCCTCTGTGTGCCATTGTGAAGATCCCTTGCTAAAAGGCAAGTTGAGGGAGAGGGATGGTGGGAGAATGGTTGCACAGAGATGTTGAAGGCAGGGACTGCACTGTCTTCATTTGGTAAGGCAGATGCAGAACTGAGCGGGAGGCAGATACAGGAGAGCAGAGCAGCACTTGTAATGAGGTTTTTGTCATTAAGGGGCAGGAGGCTGTATTCATTGCCGCTGCTGTTGGTCCCAGGAGGGCGTACTTCCCCTGTCAAGGGCTTTGTCCTCTTCCTACGAAGTTGCAGTGGTGTGGCAGCAAGAAGCCACCTTGTTTCTGAGCAAGGGACTTTGCTCCTATCTCTGAGCTTACATGCTCCTTGCTGCTGCCCTCTGGCATTGGTCACGGACCAAGGAGACGTGTGTGTGGGAGGGGGCGTCTTACAGTGGGGAATTTCTCTTATGGGTGCCTGGGTTTTGTGAGAAAGTGCTGTATTGCATGCATCTGAGAAAGGGCAGCCCACACCTGCTTGGAGACAGGGGAGGTCTGTGTGGACCACCCTTGTTTAGGCAATGGCGAGTCTGATCTTCAGAGACTCGTGCAGTTTTTGGTGGAGCAAGTGTGTGCAGCAGAGATCACCATCTCCTGGCAGTGACAACCCCCAGGCGTGGAAAGGGCTTCGTCTTCCCGGCAAGAGGGAGTTCAGGGCTAAGTCTTAAGAAAATGAAGAAGTGAAGATGTTCGTGCTAAGTGGGGGCTGGCTTTGCTTTAAAGCCAAGAGCTATTGGCTTGTCACTGATACATTAATCAGGAGTGAAATGTTTAGGCCAGGCTGGGTGGGAGGAGGAGGCGGCGGCGGCGAGGGAAAGCAAGGGGAGAGTTGCTGAGCTCTGAAGCGGGGTGGGAGGGGGTTGTTGTAGGGCTGAATCTGTCAGGGGATTTGGCCTGAGCCCCGTGCCGAGATTAAGTTTCGGAGAGCACATTCCAGAGCAGAAAGGGGGCTGTGTGCACTGGTGGCCTGATAGAGGGAAGGAGAGGAGGGGAGAGGTGGATGGGATTACCAAAGACATGGTTTGCATTTAGGAGAGCAGGGTGTGCACAGCTTCTCAGCCTGATCGGTTCCTTCGTAGGCTGATCCCCTTTTCTTTTTTTTCCCCTCACCCCAACCCACCACCACCAGCTTTGTCTCCTGGGTCAAAGCATGTCTGTTTGACCTGTCTGCCTGCTTTGGTCTAGCATCACTGCTGGATGAGAGACAGTCCTAGAGCACCAGAAGGTCCCACCATGTCCCTCAGGACAAATCAAAGCCACAACTGAGTAGTCCGTCAGCACTCTCCAGAAGCAAAATCACCTTCAGCTACTGGATTGCACCTGGGGATGGGGGTGCAAAAGAGGGGGACTTGCCCATTGCTGCGGTACCTGCCATGACAAAGGCACTACTGCCGAGGGGAGGTCAGGAGCAACATTCAGTTGCACAGAACTGGAGCCAGAGGCTGGATGAAGAAGCAACTAACCCATTGTGGAGCACCCCTGTGCTGCTCTGCATAGATCTCTTGTCCTTGAGGGGAGCTGGGAATGGTAGAGGCCGTCCCCCACACACTTGGGATGGCCTTGGGTGATAGAGACCCCCCACATGGGGAAGTCTTGGCAGTCAACAAGTGAAGAGAGACCGAGGGCAGCCCAGGAAAGACGTGGGGCTGAAGGTATAGGAGGGAAACCTTCTGCAGGGGTTCACATGACGAGTTCCTTGTTTGTGAGCTGGAGGTGGCTCACAACAGCAGCTTTGCAATGGTCTGAAATAGCAGAGGGCACAGATTTGTGGTGGGTCTGAGTTTGAAAGCTATGGTAGCAGATATGCCACAAGCTTTCCTTCTCCAGACCTACAGGGCCTTGCTCTGAGCTGGTTCAGTGGGCACCATGGTCCTGGGGTAGAGAAGGAAGCCCCTGGCAGGTCAGCATTGCAGTTGATACATCTCTTCCAGATCACCTGCTGGGCTGAAAAAAGACCCTCTGAAAGGGGTTTGGGGAGCCAGGGCAAGAGTGAAACTAGAATGTGAATGAAAGCAGTGGGGTACGTGTGTGGAAATATTTTCAAGGTTTAGGTTTATTTTGGAAGAGGACCTGGAGTCATTGGAAAAAGTATCTTGCTAGGTTTCAAGGGGTGTAGGTAACACCATCTGGCCAACTTTTAGGCTATTTCCACTCCTTTTTCTCCTCCTCCTTCGGAGGAAACACCCTCCCAGTGCCCCAGGCTGTGCATGCCTGGTCCCTCAGGGCCTCCTTGTGCTTTGTCAGCAAACAGGTTACCATCGCTGCTATGCTGGCAGCCACAGCGTAGCCTTGGGACCAATACTGCCTTTTCCCGTCTGTGGCACAGCAATGCCGAGTCCATCTCTGCTCTCCCTGGCTCAGAGGGCTGGTTGAAACTAGCATTTAATTCCTCTGGTGGAGATAAAATAGCTATTGTATAGCCAAGGGGTGGAGGGAGAAGGGATTTGCAGAAAGAGGAAGATTTCTTAAAGCAACACAAGGAGCAGCACTTCAGGCATTACTTGGGCGCTTTTGAGTCCAGCTAGAGCCGACCTGGTGCTCCATGATCGCACACTCAACCTTGTCAGCCCATGCACATTGGTGCAGGCAGATACCTGCTGATCACCGCTGGCCTGGTGTGCTGCACAAGAGCAGCCCCGCATGGCCCTGAGGCAGCCCTTCGGCCTGGATGAGGCTGTGGTATTCCTGGTTTTCCAAGCCAGGTCCTAAGCCTTCATATGGCTGAGAGATGCAAGAAAGAGAAAGGTATTTTTTCTGGCCTGCTTGCAGGTGGCAAATTTGCCATCATGCTGGAAGCCCTGCTGCAGCCCCTCTCCTGGGTGGAGGTGCTATATGAAAAAGGTATGGCTGCAGTGGGCTCCGGTGGGGACAGATAAATCTACTAGGGACGTGAACACGGCACCGTGGGCTGGTCCTGAAACAGCAAAAGGCTGGGAAGGTCAAGAGCCCTTGGTGGAGCTCACAGGGCAGCTGAAGTGCAGGGCTGGAGCAAAGCCAGCCAGCAGAGGTGGCACAAGCCGTGCAACTCCCAGGATTCAGCTGTGTGCGTGGAAAGCCAGTGCAGTGAGCACAACAGCAAGCCTGACCTGGGCAGACGTGAGGTTTAAAAACAAAACAAACGTTAGATGAGGCACGCAGCAAGGGGACTCCACCTGTTCCAGTGTATCCCCTGTGGCCAGGGATGAAGGGAGTGCAGGGCCCCTGTGTCTGGGGACACTATGGGACAAGGGAGGCTCATTGCCCCGTGGCCATCCACCGGTGCAGCCGGCGAGGGCAGCCCTCGGCTTTGCGGCAGCTGGTGGGGGAAGCCGGGCCTCAACACGCGGAGGTCCTGGGCAGTGACCCTGCGCTGGGTCGGGCTGGGCATCCCCCAGGAATTTGCAGCTGCTTTCTGAAGACAACCCCATTCATTTTCCTCTGCCTGGGCCTCTCCTCTGACAGCTCCCCGGAGGCGATGGCGGGAGGGAGGGAAAGGGGCGGCTGTGTGTTGGAAAAGCATTTGCTGAGCAGGCACGGGGAGCTCTGGCCCCGGGGGCAGAGGTGGCGTGAGGAGGGGAGAGAAGGAAAACACAGGTGGTGTTTCTCGAGCTGGCGGAGCTGTGGCACAAGGGCTGTGCGACAGGCGCGGGGCAACGTGGGGGAGTGGGGCTGGGGCACGGTGGGGGGGATGTGCTTGGGAGGGCGTGAGCAGGCGGGATGCCCGGGGGCTGTGCCTGTCCAGGGGGGATTAGTGGAAGATGGGCTGGGGGACTCCTGTCCCTGCCCATTCCCCTTCTTGGGGTCCTTCCCTTCCTTCCATCACCCTTCCCTATGCCAGGGAAGACTTTCACCTTGAGGGCCGGCATTTTATTTACTACTGCTTCTTCTCTGAAGTTATTTACAGTCTCCCATTCATTTAATCCAGTCTGTCTCAGCAGCCTCATTGCTTGGCCCCCGGCCCCGGGATTCAGCTGGTTTCCCTCCCTGATGACAGCAGCTCTGCCAGCCGCAGGGCTGACTCTCCCCGCACCCCGGCTCACCCCATCGCGCCTTGGAGTGGGACGCAGATGGACACAAGCAGTGGCCTTTAGTTGCACTCCCTTCTAAACAAAAAAGAAAAAAAAAAAAAAAAAGAAAAAAATAAACTCTGTTATCCCAGCACGGCTGGGATTGGCAGTGCTCTCTGTCTGTCCGCTGCACCTCCTGGACTGTGGCTGGTGGATGAGAAGCTGCTGCTTCCCTGTGATCGAGCGTGTCTTTTAAGGACAAGGAGATGGGCTGGCACCTCGGGCGCTGCCATATGCAAAGGAAAACTCAAGCCAGGGAAGAGGGGATGTGGTTTCTCCCAGCTGTGGCGGGAGCTAGACCCAGGGTGCAAATTGCATGTTAGACACGGGGCACGGCTGCTGCCAGCCAGGCAGCAGAAGGGGCAAGCGCTGTATCCCTCCCCCCGGTGCTGACCTTCTCCTCCACTCCTCCCTACACTGCCTGGTGGGAGGAGGCATGTGTGGCTCCCCATGTTTCGGGGGGGGCTCATTTGAAGCCCCCAGGGCGAAACTGTGTGTCCCAGCACAGCAGCCTCCGCTTTGCTGCGCTGGGGCCAAAGTGCAAAGGCGTGTGTGAAGGGAGGGCTCGTCCCACGCACAGGGGGTGCCCCCAGCCACCCTTGCCAGCTCCAGCCAACCCGTCGGCGTTAATGGGCAGCTGTATGTGCCCGCCGCAGCGGGGAGCGGGGCGGTTGAGACCGCCTGTGGCCAAAACCCACTGGCAAATAAAACAGTCTTATTCGCTGTGGGGGAGCAGGAATTTAGGGGAGTAGTTTGGCAGGAAGCTCGTACACTTGCGTATTGGAAAATAGTTTGTCCCGGTGCCCACCTGATGTTTTTCCCCTCTCCCCTGCTGGTTTTGCTCCACTTCTCCGGTGGTGCCCAGTTCTTGCTCCCCAGCCACCCCAGGATCCCTTTCCTCCCTCTTTTCTCCTTCTGTCCACAGCTTCGCCCCTCGTCCCCTGTGGCGGAAGGTGGGAAAAAATGGGGGTCCCACTCCCCTTGTGGGGCTGTGGCACTCATGGCTGTAAGAGCGATGGGCTGAGCTGCCATCTGGGGGGCTGCATGTGAGGGACCCTGCTATCCGCCCAGCTCAGGGTCGTTTCGGGGAGTGCCCCAGCATGGGGACATCATTTTCCATCTCTGAGAGAGTGGTGCTCCCCGGTGGGCTCCGCTGTGCTGGGACTGTGGGTCTGCTCTTCCTCTGGGCTCCTGGGCCCCTTCTCCGCTTCGGGGTCTGTGCATGCATGCACGCGCGTGTGTGTGTGTGTGTGTGCGCAGATCCCTGCCAGCATTGCTGGAGCCTATGCCTTAGCTCCGAAATCTTAATTTGGCTGTGATGAATCCAGACCACCAAGGCGCACATTAATTTTCCTGATGCTCGTTTATATTTTGTTGATTGGAGAAATATGCGTGATGTGGGCAGGCAGACACTGGGCTCTCGCCACTTCTCCACCTCTTTCCATTTCTGTGGCTCTTACTATTTTATTCCTTGATCAAGTATAAAAAGCAAAGAGAAGAAAATACCCAGCACCCTTCCCTTCCCCAGCAGTAACTTTCATTGCTGGAGGAGCGCGAGGCACGGCCAGCTTTTCACAAGTTAAGAGTTAACCTTCATCTGGCTTTAATACCCAGTGGAAACATGGCTCCCCTCCTCAGCTTGTCTTAAAGGATTAATCACATTTCTGAAGTTCACCCGTATTCCTTCTTTTTATTATTTTTTATTTTAATTGAACGATGCCAAGAAATTCCAGAAGTATTAAGCATGTTCGCTGCAAATCATTTTTATGACATTGCAAAACCTCCCCTTTTCTTTTCAACCTCCTCCCCTTCCCTCAGATCTGGGCCCGGGAACGCTGGCTCCCCCGGCAGCTGCCCGGCAGCCCCTCCACACCGCACTCGGGGAGGCTTTCTTGCCGCCTTGCCAAGAGAGCTGGTTTTTATTTAAACTCCATAAAGGATCTTGCTTTAATCAGAAAGTCTGCTTGAGAAATTTCATGTCACTTTTCCATGACTGTGGGTGGGAGAAGCTTGGAGCCAGAGTTGTCTTTTGCTCTTGGAGAGCTGCTGCATTTCCCAGAGAACAAAAACACATTTTTCTGCCGGCTGGGGCTGCCAAGGGAGGCTGCCTGCCGTCCGCCCGCCGCCAGCCCTCCTGCTTCCCCCCAGCTCTCCAAGCTGCCCGAGGTCGCGGGCGCCACGTCCTGGGATGGGTTTTGAGGGGCGAGGGAGCTGCTGACAGCGCGTGGCCACGCTGTGCCGTGGCGAGGGATGCAACGCGCTGCCTGAACGTGGGGTTTTGAAAAGGGAGTGTGGGCTCGGCCAGATTTGGTGGCTTGCTGCTCGGGAGATGTTTGTTAGTGCTGGGTCACGGGGGAGATGGGACGGCTTGAGCCTTGATGTGACAACGTGACTTGTGACCAGCTGCGGGATGTGTGACATTTTTATGCTGCACAGCACCATAAAAATGCGCGCGTGGGACTTTTTTTCCAGGCACGAAACCCTCTCCCTCCCGGCACAGGCTGACCAAGGCAAACTTTGGGCTTGCAGCTTCCCGGGAAGACTTGCTGTCGTCCCCAGAGAGAGAGGCGACCAATTTCACCTCCAGGAAGCTTGGCGGGGCCAGACTGGCGTGCTCCCTGTCCTGCCAGATCCACAGGGTTTCACTGCAGTTCTCTGTTCCTGCTTTAAAAAACAGGGAAAAGAAAACAAAAAGTCAAGTGCCCTTTCCTCCCCTGCCCCTGTGCTTCCGCTCCTGCTGCCTGCATCAGCCCTGCCGGGGGAGCGACCCGTGTCACAGCCTTGTAGGGGGACACGTGCTAGGCTGGGCTGCCTAAAGCACGGCTGCTTTAGGGAGGGGACAGCTGTGCCGTGTAGAGGAGGAGCTGCTTTTCCTTGCAAGTCCATGTTCTTTGAACTGGGGCGCGGGCACTGCTTGGGCACATGCAAAGCCTCATGGTTTAACCAGCCTTCAGGCTGTGAGATATTTGATGGGAGCGAGAGTGCCCGGAGCGGAGACACTGATAGCTCAGGCTCTGGAGGAGCTCAGGGCAGCTCTGGGAGCGCCCAGTGCTCGCACACCTTCTCCCACTGTGTCAGCCGGCGTCTGCGCACCCTTGAAGCATGCTGGGCTCCCTGAGTTATGACTGCGAAGTTAGCTTCTCGGTAGCAGGACGGCAGCCGCGTTTGAAATAGCAGGCGGCAGAAGGACCATTTTTGGCCGTGCTTCAGTGCTGCAGTAGGTTGGCTCATTTTTTACTCTCAGGCCAGGATTTTTCACACCCAGTTTCTCAGCCGTGGAGCAGGCTGTTTCTCTAGAAGCTGTGTTTTAAGTTACCCATTTTGTAGGAAGGAGGAGGAGGAAAAAAAAATAAAGCTCTGAAACCAGGCCAGTTTCTCTAGCTGCTGGGGATGGAGCGGTCCTCTGCTGGCACCTCAATGAAACAGCCCCGGGTCCGCAGGGAGAGGATGAGCTGACACCGGGATGCCGAGCCAGCCACTGAGATGCCCTGTTGTTCGCTCTCTCTGCAGATCTCAAAGACTTCAAGTTCGATGGCCAGCATGTGATCGAGGTGGATGAAGGGAACACAGCCGTGATCGCCTGCGACCTGCCCGAAAGTCACCCCAAGGCTCAGGTGCGCTACAGCGTGAAGCAGGAGTGGCTAGAGGCCTCCCGAGGTGAGTGCCACAGAGGTCTGTCCCCCTCCCAGGACCCTGCTGTACCCTTCCCCACCAGCAGTAGCTTTCTCTGCCTGCTGCATCCTTGCTGTCCCTTTGCTACCGGTGTGAGCACAGGTTAGTTTAGGGTCTCTGCCAGGTCTCCCTGATGTCTCCACTGCCTGGCACTAGGGACCCATGTGTAAAACCAGCTGTGGAAGAGGAAAGAAAGTAGAACTAGCTGATGCCCTGAGTTGCTCTTTGTCAGGCATCTCCATATGTCCGTGAAGTGCTCCTTTAACCCAGCCTGGATAAAGGCGACTTTTGAATTTGGGGACATTTTTAAAATTTGGATCTGAATTTTGCAGCTTTGCTCCATCTGCTGCCCGTACCTCTGACAAGCTAGCTTCACCTAAGGCTCTGTTCCTCCCACCATTGCATCATTGCTCCCCTGATATTTGAGCCAGAGGGGGTAATTTCAGTGCTGTCAGTGTTATCGTGTTGTTTTCCTCCCTTCCCACTTGTCCACCTTTTCTCCAGGGCACTGCATTTCTTCAAGAGGGGGGATGTGTCTTATAACCATGTGCCACCTCCTCTTCTCTCCCTACAGACAATTACCTTATCATGCCATCTGGGAACCTTCAGATCGTCAATGCCAGTCAAGAGGATGAGGGGACTTATAAATGTGCTGCCTACAACCCCGTGACGCAGGAGGTGAAAACCTCGGTCTCCAGCGAGAGGCTCCGCGTGAGACGTAAGCCACTCTCCCTTCACTGCACGTCTTCTCTGTAGCACTTCCAGCCCTGGGAGCACGAACCAGTGCTATTGCAGATGGTTGTCCATGTGAACCAACATTGCTGGAAAAACTCCTTTTCAGCAGCAGAGGGCCCCAAGGTCTTCTCCTGGGGTATGTGTGTGCAACCCTGGGACTACCCTGGTTCTCGGTGAAGGGCGAGGAAAAGTCCTTAGCCCTCCATCAAGACCGCATGCTGTGTGCACGCGTCCCTTAAGGAACGTCCCTCCTGGCCTGCCTTGCCATTTATCTACCGCAGCGCAGGGGAGCAGCGCTAGCCCTACCATTACCCCTTAGCTGCACTCAGCACAGGGTGCTTTCCCACTGGCCACCTTCCTTCCCACCCACACCCTTCCTCCTCCTCTCCTCACCAGGTTCCACAGCGGAGGCAGCCCGGATAATCTACCCCCCTGAAGCTCAGACCATCATTGTCACCAAGGGCCAAAGCCTCATCCTGGAGTGTGTGGCCAGCGGGATCCCCCCACCGCGGGTCACCTGGGCTAAAGATGGCTCCAGCGTCTCTGCGTACAACAAGACACGCTTCCTTCTCAGCAACCTCCTGATCGACCCCACGAGTGAGGAGGACTCAGGGACGTACAGCTGCACGGCTGATAATGGGGTTGGGGAGGCTGGAGCCGCGTTCATCTTCTACAACGTGCAGGTGTTCGGTGAGTGCTGCTGTAGCCTTTGTTTCAGGAAGGGCTTGGGTTTTCTCCACTGCTTTCAGGGGAAAACATGAGTGCTGCTGTAGTCTTCCTCTCCCTGGACAAACCACAGCATAAGGCAAACCCCTGCTTGTGGTTCCAGTTTCAGTTTCTCAAGTAGATGGGATAAATTGTACCTTGAGGGTGGTAGTTCCTCCTTCCTGGTTCCCACTATGAGCTGGAGGTGATGGGTCCTTCCTTTACCTGCAGAAGCTCTTCTCTTGTCATTTGTGGCGCTGGGTTTGCTCTAACTCTCTGGTCTCTAGCAGAAGACTGGCTGCTTCTTAGATATAGCTGAGGTTGGCATAGGAAGGACATCAGAGCGACTTGCTTTTTGGTCTGTTCTGTGGGGAAGCTCTCAGTGGGGTGGGAAACATGAGGGATACTACACCTTAGATATTTCTACCATGCATCCTTCCCCTTCTCACAAGCATGAGGGAGGCTAAGCCTGTGTTTTCTTGGATTGCATTTCATCCACATGCCGGTCTTGTTTTGGCATGAGCGCAATCTTTGCAGGGTAGCTCAAAAAAATGAGACTTGTAGGTGACTGCTGTCATCTGAGAGGGGCAGGTGGCCTTGGGCCACCTCTCCTTGTGGTTCACGTGGATGCTGAAGGGGAGACGCAATGAAGCGGGCCCACAGGGGTCCGCACAAAGGGAGTGGGACTTGAGGGGGGGGTTAAGGATCCATGACTCTGCCAGAGAGGAAAGTGCAAAGCCATGACCATGCCGCGCTCCCTACCAAGCGGCACTCAGTGACCATGTTTTTTCCCTGCACAGAGCCCCCAGAGGTCACCATGGAGCTGTCCCAGCAGATCATTCCCTGGGGCCAGAGCGCCAAGTTCACCTGCGAGGTGCGAGGGAACCCCCAGCCCTCGGTCATGTGGCTGCGCAACGCCGTCCCCCTCTCC